TTTTTGGGTTTAGGTGCACTTAAAGAGATAGTCAAAGCCCCGAATTTCCTGACTTACTGGGCTCAAGTAAATTATCTTAAAGTACTGTATCAGTTGAACGAAATTAACCACACTTGTTCAAAGCTTACATAGCCTTGTGCGCGGTTTTGCTACTACAGTAATTATAAATGTTCTCTCTCCCTGGATTAGAGATTAAGTGAATCTTGCATATTGTTTTCTTTTTTAATCTTTCGTAGCCATCGCCTAAAAGTTGTTCAATTAGTATTCCAGATTTTTCCCAGATCAAGCTCTTTATCGTTGATCCTGAAAAATCGTCTCTGTATTTTTCACGTGGATCGCTTCACGTGGATTGCTTTAGGTGGATAGCATATTGCTTCTGCTGTGGAGAGCAAAGAGTGAAAAGAAGGAAAGTTCCTTTGAATTACTTTATATGTGAATCATTCAGAGAGTGATAGATGAAGCTTACGACAACTAGTTCGGCGGTTTAAATTTGATTTCAATTGAAGCATTGAAGTTTGTAGACTCGCTTGACTTTAAGGCAGTTGAAAAAACAACTTTTTCATGATATTTCCGGCATTAATTCGCAGTAGCAAAATTACCTTGGCTCACTGTGCGCATGGTATTGCCTACAATTGACCTTCTTCGCTATCAAACCGGTCGTACATCGTCTTTTACAGTTACAGGGACAACCACCTACGAAATTCTCGCCAAAACCGAAAATATAATTACTTTGTGCGCTCAAAGATATTTGAGCATAACAGTGGGTAGTGCGAGATGCAAGGATCCCCAAAGCAATAACATCCTTTCTTCCTGCATCACAAACAAGGGGAATCTTGCATATTCTTTCCTTTCCCCAGAAGGTATCACCTAAAATTTACTTGCTCTCTCTTTTCCTCCTCAGCTGAACTAGTTGTTGATGTAACTCCCGCAATCGGTTATCCAATGGAGTATTCCTCGCTTACTATAACCTGCGCTGCTCATGATCCTAACAATGCAGTTGTGCCAGGTAGAATTCAAATTGTCAGAATAACAGATCAATTCGGCACTGAGAAAAATATGACTGATGCGGACAGCAACCTCAACTTTACAACAACAAAAGAAGGTAAGAAACCTAAATATATTTGCAAACTGTTCTTAATCTGAAAGAAACATTAGCAGCAATGTTTCAGTTGTCAAACGAGGATAATACAACAATAGGCTACAAGGAAGAACAGGGTTTTCTACTTTTTTACCCTTGGATTGAAAATAGAAATCACAGGCGTTTGGTATTAGATTTACTTGGAAACTCAATAATTTTTTTCAGCTGTTCGTTATAAAACGGTTTTATGTTAAGTGATGCTCAAGACCACGAATCTTCCGCCCCAGGCTTCTGAAAGACAAGTGGAACTACGTTCACTGTCATAATCCCTGGTGAAATGTCATGTTCGAGTTTTTCTGCGATAGGGGAGGTGTGTCAGTATCTGGCCTTGGAGAGAGAGGCAAAATGCTTCTAAAAAACAGCCTGAAAGCACTGAAAAAAAGAGAAAACATATATTTAGTTACTTACTTTTACGTTGATTGTATTACTGGAAGCGCTCATGGAATGTTTCACGTCTTAACTGTTTTTCCTTTCCTTGCAGACAATGGCCGCAAACTCGTAGTTACTATGAAAATTATCAACGTCACAGAAGACTACGACTCGGGACTTGACTTTTACATATGCCGCGCATACCCAGTGAACGGCAGTAGTAAAATCGGAAAGCGTCAATTCAATATTAATGTCATTCAAGGTATGTTCTTTTATGAGAAGTTAGATGAATTAATTTTCAGATTTCGTGAAGGAGGTATATATTAATTGTAACCGTTCCTTACCCTCGGCCAAAATAGCCCCAGAAATAAATAACTGACTAATCATGTAGCACATTTACTCAAGCAAAACAATGGAAGCGTCACCGAGGATGAATCTACCGACCTCTACCTTATGATTACAGATAGAATTGGACGACACGAAGTCCTGACACCAATTAATCAAAATTCGAAAAAGATATTGGCAATAAGTTTTCATTATTAAGAAACAACAGGTAACTCGGCAAAGTGTGCGAGATCAGTGCACACATGGTGCGTTCTGCCAAAATTGTAAAGATGAAAATAAACAATTTTTAAAAATCGAGTTTCCAGATGGGATTTGAACCCACGACCCTCCGTGATCTAGTCGGATGCTCTAACCACTGAGCTACAGGAGACTCTATGGTGAGCAAGGGTCAATTAGTGGGTATTGACTGGAACCGCATCACGCGGCTACACAGCCAAACATCAGCTAGCGCATAGAAGCTCACTAACAGCATCACGCTGTCACATTAAAGCATCACATGCATTAAAGCATCACATGCAGCCAACCAGCCTCCAAAGTGAGCATGTAAAGATGAAAATAAACAATTTTTAAAAATCGAGTTTCCAGATGGGATTTGAACCCACGACCCTCCGTGATCTAGTCGGATGCTCTAACCACTGAGCTACAGGAGACTCTATGGTGAGCAAGGGTCAATTAGTGGGTATTGACTGGAACCGCATCACGCGGCTACACAGCCAAACATCAGCTAGCGCATAGAAGCTCACTAACAGCATCACGCTGTCACATTAAAGCATCACATGCATTAAAGCATCACATGCAGCCAACCAGCCTCCAAAGTGAGCATGTAAAGATGAAATAAACAATTTTTAAAAATCGAGTTTCCAGATGGGATTTGAACCCACGACCCTCCGTGATCTAGTCGGATGCTCTAACCACTGAGCTACAGGAGACTCTATGGTGAGCAAGGGTCAATTAGTGGGTATTGACTGGAACCGCATCACGCGGCTACACAGCCAAACATCAGCTAGCGCATAGAAGCTCACTAACAGCATCACGCTGTCACATTAAAGCATCACATGCATTAAAGCATCACATGCAGCCAACCAGCCTCCAAAGTGAGCATGTAAAGATGAAATAAACAGTTTTTAAAAATCGAGTTTCCAGATGGGATATGAACCCACGACCCTCCGTGATCTAGTCGGATGCTCTAACCACTGAGCTACAGGAGACTCTATGGTGAGCAAGGGTCAATTAATGGGTATTGACTGGAACCGCATCACGCGGCTACACAGCGAAACATCAGCTAGCGCATAGAAGCTCAGTAACAGCATAACGCTGTCACATTAAAGTATCACATGCATTAAAGCATCACATGCAGCCAACCAGCCTTCAAAGTGAGCATGTAAAGATGAAATTAACAATTTTTAAAAATCGAGTTTCCATCTGGAAACTCGATTTTTAAAAACTGTTTATTTCATCTTTACTATCATCAACATTTCAGTTAAACCTTGGTTTGAAAGTAAAGATAGTAAATCAGTTAAGATGAAGTTGGGAGGAGACTTAACTTTGGTGTGCGGCGCCAGAGGATACTCTCTGAAGGTGGAGTGGAAGTTCAAGAATGAGACAGACGGATCAGTTAAGCCTTGCATAAGTAAGTTTGAATTAGACGTAACTCGAAAAACTTTTATTGTCTGTCAGTCAGTGTTTTAGTTCCGTCTCTGTATTTATTCGGTCGGTAAGCGAGCCATAACGTTTTTCAGCTGTCCCTTAAACTTTCTGTTAGACGGACAGCCAGCCAGACAGTCTTGTTGTCAGCCAGCCAGCCAGCCAGGACAGCCAGCCAGACAGTCTTGTTGTCAGCCAGCCAGCCAGCCAGTCAGCCAGTCAGGCAGTAGTAGGCTAGCTAGCCAGCCAGCCAGCCAGCCAGCCAGCCAGGCAGGCAGCCGGTAGTTTGCCATTCCGTCACTCTGTTAGTCAGTTAGTCATTTGGTTATTCGGTCGGTTAGTCATTCAGTCAGGCAGATCATCCTTCAGTCCTGGATGAACAATCCTTTGGGTCAATTTGTTTTATAGCTACCATTCACTATCAATCAGCCAACAGCCATTACGTTTGTCGATGCTATTTGCAACAGGTTATTCTATTCCCAAACCTTTTTAATGTTCATATTTTAGACTCTTCAAAGGATGAGCGTTACAATGTCAGCCAGAAGGGACCCTATGATCCATATTCCTTGACCATTGAAAGCGTGAGCGAAGCTGACCTTGGAGTTTATTATTGCTGTCTACCATCAGGCTGCTCTGAGGACATTGATAAGGATCGGTGCCAAAGCTTTGACATCGATGAAATAGGTAGGTATTTAACAATTATTCCACGAGCACGCGTTGGATATGAGATGATAGATAGCCAACTCGGCGCTACGCGCCTCGTTGGCTATAATCATCTCACATCCAACAAGCGCGAGTGGAAT